TGTGTGTGAGACACTTCGGAAGATGGGACAGAAGAAGAGCAAGCTGTCTGATCCCATGGAGAGGGGCCCTACGGCAGGGTTGCCCAATATACCGCCGGAGAGTCCTTTAGGGTTAATGATTGCCCATTGGGATGACTGGCCGTCCAGATAAGGCAAAAGGAAAGAAAAGATGGTACATTATTGTATGCAGATATGGGGTGCGAAACAGATAAGGAGAGACCACCTATACTGGCCTGGTTTTGGGTCGTTTGAAGATTGGATTTGTCAAGCTTTAAATATATATGTGAACTCCAAAGAACCTTTTAGTTTAGAGGAAAGTGAACATGCCAGTTTATGGATAAGATCAGACACCAGAACTTTTTTGTTTACTCTGAAGGAAAAGGGTCCTAAGAAAAAGACTAAGAATCCTGAGGAGCACCCCCTATCATCCCCTCCTTATATTCCTCCCGCTCCTGCACCGGACCCCACCCCCCCTTCTCCTCTAACCGCCCCAGCACCAGACCCACCCCTCTTTACCCTCACCTTCCAATCACCCCAGACCCAGACCTGAACCCCCCTTGTTCCCCCGAAAAGGCTTCCGAGGCAGTAAGGGAGCCTCGGGTGTTGTTTCACCTTCCTCTGCCCCAGGGGGATTTCTGGAGCCTGGTGGGGCCCGGCTCGTCTTCCCCTGGGTATCCGGAGGAGGGGGTGGTGACAGGGGGGTCATGTTGGGACTGCAGGGATGGGGCGGTGAGGGAACACCTTGGTGGATCCAAGAGGGAAGGGGGAAGCGCAGCACAGCCCGCGTGGATGGGACGGAGTTAACTTTCGCCACTGCAAGCCCGTGCTGGTGTTGGGGGGGCGTTGATAACACAGACAGGGTCTGGCTGCTGCTGAAGGGGGCTTGCACAAGCCCAGGGACGCCTCTTCGGTCCCTCTCGGCCCTGCAGCGACGGGGAAAGAAGACTTTCGCTTTCGGTCTGGTTTCCGGGAATAGGAGGGCAAGGCCGGCCAAGGGTGCAGCATAAAAGCGGGCGCAGGTCCCCGGCTGCAGCAAAGCTGTTGCAGCCCAGGGCAGCTGATGAAGACAACGGTGAGTCCCTTCCCCTAACGCCCCCTCCCCACCCCTGCAAGCAGCCCTGGGCACTGGGGCTGCAGAATGACTCCTGCTGACCCCAGCAAGCCAGAGGGAGCCCAGCAAGCACCAGGGAGCCCAGCGGCTGGCAGGAGGAGGAGGAGGAGGAGGAGGAGGCCCAAAGGTCTGCAGGGGCTGTGGGATGGCACAAAGGGGAAGGGGTGCCTGGGAGCCTGCGTTCAACCCCCCTGGGCTTTGCCTGCCTGCGAGTTAGGACTCGCCTAAGCTGGACCCGATGCCCTAAGCTTTCCTCTCCTCCCCGGTGTGGCTGGGAGTGCCCGTGTCATGAGGGACAGCCTCTTGTCCCCCACTGGCAATGCCCTCGATGTTCCTGTGACCCTGTGAGGTCCTCGGAGAGGATTCCCAGCCCAGCAGTGGGCAGTGGCATTGGAGCTCGCCATTGCCGGAGCGAGTCCCGGGGTGTGCGGGCGGTTGCGGTGGGGCAGGTGCTGGGTCCGGGCATGGGAGGAGCCCTTGTGCTGCCTCCACGTCTGTGGGGTTTGCTGGTAGCTGGCAGGGGCTGGGCGATGGCTGGGGCTTGTCGTGGTTGAACCCCAGCCGGCCACCGAGCCCCGCACAGCCGCTCGCTCCCTCCCCCGCAGCGGGATGGGGGGCAATCAGGAGAGTAAAGGCGATAAAATCCGTGGGTCGAGATGGAGACAGTCTGAGAGGTAAAGCAAAAGCCGTGTGTGCAAGCGGGGCAAAAGGGTCAGTTGGGCTCCGCTGTCCCAGCTGTGTCCCCTCCCAGCTCCCTGCTGACCGGAGGGACATTCCATCCCCTATCCCGTCACGGTCAGGAATAAACCTGGAGGGCGGAAGTTGACGGAGCGGGTGCTGCTGGGGGACAGGCTGGGCATCCGGTGTTTGGGGGGGAGGCATTGTTTTCCC